TTTATTTTTTTTTTTTTTTAATTAATAATTAATAATAATTATTAAATATTAATAATAATTATTTAAGATATTCTAATTTTTATTCTATTTTTTACTTATTTAGTATTTATTACTTATGAGATATTATAGAATTACTGAAAATTAATCATTATCTATGAAGAAAATCTTAAAAAGCCGAAACTATAAAATTATAATGGAAACTGATAGATCATCGACATAGCGCTTACATGAAGTTATCCTTTCTTTGTACGTACATTCTTAATGCTTCATTGCTTTGTTTAAGAATCGCAACGTTTATATTTACGGTTCCTATAAACGTTCTAGTTGGCAAGAAAAGCTTTTAAGACTTCTCGTTTGGAACGCAATTATAAATCTTTAGAATTTTATTACTTTTCGTACTTGGCCCGTACCCAACCTTCAGAGCAACAGCATCTATAAAAAATCCCTAATGATAAGCGTTAAATAATGACGGTACTTTTAAAGACTTCGACTTGAAACAATATAACTAAATGATTAATTATAGTTTATTTGTCACTATTATAGTCAAGGTTGACTCGAATTTGTAATCGGAGGCTGATTTCAAAAAGCAAAACGTATTCGATTTGCTTACTATAGGATTGTCAAAACGTTGGACAACAAAGGTTTGCATACATTTGGTTAATACATAATAGATAATATTTATTTAAATATGAATGGCCGCAAATAAATAGGCTAACAGAAAAAACTAATTTTCATATGAAGGTCGTTGACCAAAATAAACTGCAGAGAAAGATATTTATATACGTGTATACGATTAGACCATGTATCGAATATTGTAACATTATACTCGTATAGCTATACATATGTAAGTATGTAAGCATATATTTTAATACTACTAAAACCTGCATTGGGGAACAGAAATATGATTGTAAGTATGTGCATAATAAGTCTTAAGTGTGTAGTGAATGCAGAAGTATCTTAAAGTAGGTTAGTGTGGCAAGGCGTTGTTTTTGTGTTATTTTGTTGTTATTCAATTTAGTACCTTCAGAGAGCTATTATTATAATATTTATGTATTGATATTTTTAAAGCATCTGTGAACATATGATAATGTCCTTTAATTAGCCAGCAAGGCTAAAAAACAATAAAAGTGATTACAATAAAATTTAAAAATTAAAATGAAACATATGTACACATGCATATCCAATATCTTATTTGAACCTACATTCAATTAATATTTTCTTTGGACTTTATACTTAAACACATATATAAATATATACATACACATTTTTCTAGCAATTCATTTATATATTTATATACGTATATTATTTATTACCTCTAATTATATCACCTCTCTTTTCGAAAGGAATGTTAATAGCCTTCGTTTCGTGTTAGAAATATAATTACTAGTAAGGCATTGAATACAAAAATATGTTTATTACTAAATGCACTAGAATACATAATAAGTATTGCTTAATCAATACCAATCATTTCATGATTTCAAAATTTGTAAAATATTTTTTTATAAATAATTGATATTTTATATTGTTAAGTAATTAGTAAGGGATTGATTTGAGCTGTCAGCTTGAAGGGTTAAATATACAATTCTTATTGGAAATCGGTCAAGAAAATCTTTTAAAAGATGTAACATCGAAATTTTCACCATAGTTTTTTTTATATATCCTCTGATCAAAATTGTTTCGGACTCACAAAAAAACTACATTTTCACGTATTTTAATTGAACTATTTATTATCGCCTTCAAAATAGGTTCCTTAGCCAATACAACATGTGAACGCTTAATCCAATTTGCTATACTCTTGTTATGTGCCTCGGTTGAGATGACCTTCAGTACCCTCCGCGAATTTTGGTTTTTTCGGTTTTGGCTTATTTTTGAAGCGCCTTCGGACAGTTTCGTCGTCCCACGTCTCGTCACCAGTAATGAAAGCTTTAATGAATGTGAGATTCTCAGTCTTCTAGTTACGACTCTAGCATTGGCTAACTTATTACCCAAAACATGAATCAAAATGTTTTGAGTCGTTAAATAAGTGGTCTTCTATCTCTTTGATCATAACACGATGATTTTAAAGCAATGTTTCCTTGACTTTTTCGATCTTGTCGTCATTGACAGAGGTGGATGAACGACTTACATCAGGCAGTTTTCAACTGCTCACTATCTTAACTGAATGCCTTGTGCCACTCCACAACACTTCTGCAACATTTGACATATTGTGAAACACACATTAATTGACATATGGAGTTCAAACTTCACACAATCATAAAAAAGGTTGTACAAATCTAAAAAAAATCTTTCTAGCGATTCGGTTTGCGTGCGCAGTCTAAAATGGTGTATTTTGAATTTGAATTTCAGTTTTGAATAACTGGTTAATCGGCAAGTTTCAGATCGCTCGCAGATTTATTTGCTTGAGGGGTTTTCCACAGTCCGAAGTATAAATGATCGCACGTATCGGTATTAATCGGTATTACTAGCCGATTGTATGAAATGATAATGACAAATACGGTTTTTTGGCAGAATGGTTATTAAAATTTTGTTAAATAATTTCTCAAAATTTTATGAACATTATTAACAAAGTAATTTTAATTTTTTTTCGAAACCTTTAACAATGTATTCGCTATGATCTCATGACAATCTGGTTCATTATTATTGTTGATATCATTGATTCTCTAAAACTCACCAAAGCCTAATTGTAATTGTAAATATTAAAAAAGTAAAACAAAAAATATATGTGTATAATTTTTTACTATTTTAACGCACAAATTTAATAACACCACATTTAAAACAAAAACGGTAATCAATTGGTTAAAAAGTTTCCGCATTCGATCCTGTCATACATACATACATATTATATGTATGTAGGTACATAAGTAAATAGTTTTCTATACAACAAAACAAAATATTTATGCACAAGAAAATACTAAGAGATACCAGATAAAACGTAAATAGTCATAAAAATGTTACATTAAATGTTGTTGTACGTGTATATATGTTTTGTTTTTTCTCAGACGTCAAATAGTTTATACTAAGTAAACTTTACTTCAATGCCTTTTCTCTACACTTGAAAGTGAAAACAAATGCACTGAGTCAAACGCCTTTTCTCCATTAACATAAATATACATACGAGTATGTATATATGTATATACATAGGTTGGGTATATGTACATATGTATGTGCGAGTATCATATCTATGCTTCAGTTTGCGAAATAGTGGCGAAAACCGAATAAACGCAGTAATAAAAGAAATAAAACGAAGAATTGCAGGAAGGCCGAAGCGCATTCACTTGGCACTATCAGGTTTTCAATAACAACCGTTAGATGATTTGCTGAAGATCAATAACCACTGCACTCGCCTGAACAGCTGCCTGGATGGTTGCAATTAGCCATGCGCTTTCTTCCGTAATTGAAAGCGGGCCCAAGACCTACAACCAGACGAAAGTGAAAATAAAATGGTATTTTGAGATTTTATGGTTAACGATGCAGTTAACGAAGGCTGTTCAAGTTCATTTACTCATTTACATAACTCGCGTGTGGTGTCAAATTTCCAAACAACCAAAACGGAAGCAGCCTGTTGCAAGTAAATTGTATTTTATATATTACATATATATTTGAATATATGCATTTGCATATAAGTATGAATGTATGTGCATATGCCTACGTGTGTTTATGCTGCGTACAGCTTCATTGTTCGATGTCAATGTCTGTCTGCAGCGCTTACATTCATCTCCGTGTGCCACTAAAAGACCAAACTAACTAACTGAATGCAAATAAAATTGACGCTAAAATTATAAAGATATGTTATTCATATATACATACATTTACATATATACAAACACATGTACGCCGAGTGCCAGCGATTTCGTAAGACCTACACGGGCAGTGTGCTCATTTAAATTCGATCTCAATGCATGCATGTGTATAGGTGTGTGTGTGTACAAGTATATAAGTTGAAGATCGGCGCTTGCAACAAACTGGCGCTGTAAGTTCGTCGTCAATGTACCGTTATAGCCGTGCCGTTGTATCATTTCCTTTTCGCAAGTCGGTGTTGGCATGAATGCACGTTTGAGTGCGGAAAACAGGTCGTTGATATAACCAACCGAGCGTTGAATGCTTTCCACTTGTGGCAACACTCTAACGTGCCGCGCGTTTTTGGGAAACTTGCTCGAAATGTTTAACAGTATACTTTGCGTATCGTGTTCATCGTAATGCCTTCTGCTTACCAGGTACCCTACTTGAAACTGGCTTAATTAGAGGGGGGTAATTTTTTAATCTATAAAGATTCAAAGTAGGACAAAATTTGGTTTTTAGGCAGTAAAATATTTACCCGATAGACTATACTGATGCTAATCCATTGTACTTATATTATATGATCTCAGTGTGACGATGACCAAATGTGCTTAGCCGTGTTGCTTCTCCGACAAATAAAGGCTCCTAAAGACCGGCTCCGAAATGCTAATGTTTTTGATTAGACGATTTTTCACTAAACACTTTCTGAACAGCTTGTACTTTTAAAATTTCTTGGCAAGTTTTCTTAATCCAGACTTGGTACTTCCCTCCAAGGAATAAGCATTGAAACTTGTTCTATACTTTTAGAGTTTATTTTGGCCGGGAAAAGTCGTCTTTTAGAAAAATGTTTAAAGGTATTTTTATATGAGTTAAGTGGTGAAAACCTTTCTACTATGGTGTTAAATTTTAGGTATTTTAAAGCAACATATTATAAAGGCAATTGTAAATGGTTATCTAAACCTATTAGTGTAAACATTATTCTAATTTACTAAATTAAGGCCCTTCACACTCCCTATATATGAGGCTCAGTCATTTAAAGTTTGTGATAAAACATATAATTTGACAAAACATAAAAAAATTTTCAAAAAATAAAAATGTCACTGTCAAACTTTCATAGTAACTGTAAACAAACCCTACGCCTCTCATCGTTCATGTCGTTCATGTCGTCACGTACCATTGTATTTTGCTGTCAAAGCAGTGCAAAAAAAAGTAATCAGTTGAATATATAGTAGTTTTCATTTCTAACGTTCTTGAATATATAGTGTTTGACATTGGAAGCTCCTGGTGACATTTTACATTGTTTCGACATTAGACATTCTGGTTAATTGTTTAGAGAAAAAACTTCTTGTCACTCTATTAGGAGAATCCAACATTTTTGTTTGTTGAGAACCCATGTTTTAGTATACATCACATATTAATTATTTAGTTAACGAAATATAGTCACCACTTGTAACATCTTGGACCTGAATCAGTCCTGATAATTCCACAAAGGCTTATGAGTAAATCAGTGCGACAGAGTGCTTATTAGGAGTTCTAATTGCAAAAGAGGGGGCAAAAAAGGGTCATGGAAATTACTGAAATTTTTATGCAACACTTTAAGTTCATGCCGAAAAAGGCGATTGTGGAATAACACAGATAAAACCTTTCGCTGGCGGACAACACTGTAGGTATTTATAAATATTTTTAAAAACTAATGCTAATTACTTATTACTACAGTTAAAGTTTCTTTTGTTTCTGTAGTCTTGCCACTTATATTTTGGCTAAAGCCACAACACTTAGTATTGCTACAATATTTGTAAGTTGCTACCGTTTCTACGTTTCAACGCCAATGGCTTTTTTATTGTGGCGGCGCTTATTATCGGGCATTGTTGTTGTTGTAATGCGGTGCTCTCGGCTGGTATTACCAATGTATTGCCGCATTGTAAGCAGCGCATGTCAGGCACAACGATTGCTACAATGGCAATGCGCGCGCAGCTTTTTCACATGTATATAAAGTAGGCGTCCGCAGCTGAACAAGTCAGTCCCAACTTGGATCTCGTTATAGGCTAAACAAACTTTTTGTGTTAATTCTCCTCTATTGGACCGTTCAAACCGACAGCTCGACAATGCGCTTGGTAATTAAGAAACTTAAAAAAATAATAATAGTAATAATAACATAGTACATCAGTAGTAATCCAAATGGATGTGTGAACTTAGCTAAAACTTAATATTTCTTTCATTTTATTCCACTTACAGTTTGTACTACCTTGTCTCGCCTTGTGCGTGGCAATTGCCAATTGTGCGCCGGCAGCCGAAAAAGCGGCTGATGTTGCAGCAGCAGAAACTGCGAAGGACGCAGTCGAAGCAAAGGATGATAGTAAAACCGTCGAAAAACGTGGTCTTCATCTAGGCGACTATGGACATCATCATCACGAACACATAAAGACCATCACCATTGAGAAGAAAGTTCCAGTGCCTTATACAGTTACCAAGCACGTTCCATATACTGTGGAAAAGAAGGTACCGTATGAGGTGAAAGTGCATGTACCCGAACCATACTATGTCGAGAAAAAGGTACCCGTACATGTTAAGGAATACGTCAAAGTACCAGTACATGTACCAAAACCATATATTGTGGAAAAGAAAGTACCATATGAAGTTAAAGTGCCAGTTGACAAGCCCTACGAAGTCAAAGTGCCCGTGCCACAACCCTACGAAGTCATCAAGAAGATCCCCTATGAAGTGAAGGTACCCGTACCACAACCCTACGAAGTCATCAAGAAGATTCCTTATGAAGTGAAAGTTGAGGTACCAGTGCCCAAGCCATATGAGGTGATCAAGAAAGTGCCCTATGAGGTTAAAGTGCCCGTAGAGAAACCATACCCCGTCGAAGTAGAGAAACCATACCCAGTCGAAGTTGAAAAACCATATCCAGTCGTCGTGGAAAAGAAGGTACCTTATGAAGTTAAAGTGCCAGTTGACAAACCATACAAAGTCGAAGTTGAGAAACCTTATCCAGTACATGTAAAGGTGCCCGTGCCACAGCCTTACACTGTGGAGAAGAAGGTACCTTACACCGTTGAGAAACCAGTACCATATGAAGTTAAAGTGCCCATTGAGAAACCATATCCAGTTTACTCAGAAGTCAAGGTGCCAGTGCACAAAGAGATTCCCATCCCAGAAAAGTACCACGTTGAAGTGCCAATCTTCCACAAGGAAGAACATCATGACTATCATCATGGCTATCACCACGATTAAATCATGATTTGATATTTATATGATTCTTTTAGCGTGTTCACAAACTGTTGATGAAGAAGGCTGAGTAGTTCTAGAATGACATTGTATGAAATCAAGGCGAACTAGATGAAGACCACGGACAAACAAAATGTTAATTGCAACCAATTGAAATAAAATGAAATCGACGAAATTTAAGAATTGCCACCACAGATCGCGAATACAAGTAAAAACAAGTAGAAATAACCGAACCGAAGAAAAGGATGAAGATTAGTAGAAGGAAACCAGAAAACCATACAAGCAACCAATAAGTTAAAATCACTCCCAATGAGTCCATCCGAAGGTAAACAGAAAAGTACGCACGCATTAATGTTGAGCTGAACGGGAGTAACGCCAAAACAACAACAACAATACTGAAGAGGATGTTAATAAAAAAAGCATTAGCACAATAACGAGAACAAGGAGGACCGATGGCCAGTTGGACGAAAAGAGGTAGAGAAGGAGAGAAAGGACGTTGTAATTGATGTAGAAGAAATGGAAGGGGGGTTCAATGGGGCAGGCGAGACTGCGGCAATTAGCTAACAGTTATGTTTGCTCCGTTATTTTCCATTGTATTATAAGCCAAATGTGTTATATATTTTTTATACAACTTGAAAACTGCCCTAGGCTTAATATTATTTTATTTAATAATAAGTTAAAGAAACACTCAAATTGTTTAAATATTTTTCATTGCAATAATGAGCTAGACAAAGATGGTAAGTAATACTTTTTTTTTGAGATTTGCCACAAATTATGACTTGGAAATATTTTTAATTATTTTCACTTAAAATTTAAAATATTTCTTTATTTAAAGTTTCAACATTTTTAAGTAACTCTTACCTAACTTAGATAAATACTCGAATGTTATTTTTTTCGGTCTATTTATTTCATAATTATGAATTTATGCAAATAATTAATATTGCTAAAATTTTGTATAGCAAGGCCTTCTTCGTATTGGGTATAATTTTTTACATCATTTCATATTTTTTATTGGTCCAATTAAAAGGGTCCACTCATCTAAGACAACGCATACTCCAATTTTGGCACATCATTGAGCAATTTAATTACACTAACATAACACCAACGACAACATTGCTATTCGTTACGCTCTGTGCACAGCGAAACATAGTGAAAGTGAAAATGCGGACGCAAGTACATACCATACACACACACACACATCTATGCACAGGCAGCTCAAGGCAAGAAAAGCAACATAGCCCAATCAATAGAAACCAATACATGCAATACACACACATACTTATGCATTTGCGATGCACCTGCCGAACACTTTGGCAAACCTGTTGCATTTGAGACCAAAAGTTTTGGTAAGCGTTGTATGCATTTTTCCTTTTCTTTGTTCGCGAAACATGCCAAAGTGTTATCCATACTGCATATAATCACACATTACACACATACAAACAAATGTGCATCAATAACTATTGACACATTTAACAGCGCGAACGTGTAGTTGACTCATTGGAGGGGGAAGGGGAAGCAGGCGCGATGTTTGAATTATGTAATGCAGTCAACGTTAGCGTGGTTATTACACAAGCATTTGCAACTAACAATGAAGGTAACACGCTAATATTATGTGTAGATGTGTATGTATATAAATAAATATACATACATATGTACGTACGTATGTATTACGTACAGACTACGATTTTTAGTGTTTAGAGATTGAAGCATTGTTCGTTTTCACAACATGCAATATTTTTTTATTAATTTGGATTTATTTCAGGTTTCAGTAAAACATCCAAAATTAATAAGGGCTTAGCTTCATTGAGGGGCACAACTTGTGTGACAACCAAAACAGGTAATTTTCCGGTCAGGTCCGCCACTGATGCAGTAACTCCGGCCTTCTCCGGTTCTAAAAAAAAATTCTTACTAAAATATATTGTTCGTACAATGACTTACGGTAAAAAAAAAAAACAAATAAGGAAGGGCAAAGTTCGAGTGTAACCGTATATTTTAAACTCGTGCGGAAAAACGTGGACTGCAGCTGCACCAAGAATCTTTGTGAACATTTAGCCTTTGTTTACATTAGGGGTCAATAACCTGTTTGTTTACATTTTATAAGGTGAATGACCCCTTTGTTTACATTTAGTCCACAATATTTGTTTACATTTATCCAAGTCAACAACCTTTGTTAACATTACGGGTCAATAACCCTTTCTTTGCTGGGCTCAATGACCTTGTTATTTTCGTTTTATGAGGTCAATGACCCTTTTGTTTACATTTAGCCAAGTCCTTTGATTACATTAGGAGTTAATAACCCTTTTTTTACATTTATGGGGTCAATGACCCTTTTGTTTACATTTATGGGGTCAATTACCTTATTGTTAACATTTTATGAGGTCAATGACCCTTTTGTTTACATTCTTTTTTGGTTATTTCCTTGCGTTTGCTGACCATACGTTCCATCCTCTCAGACAGGTATGTTCTTATGTCGCCTTGGGCTGTGAGAAATAACCTATACTAGTTTTTCTCTTTTGACCATACCTCTACCGAACTTTTCCTCTTAATACATGTTCTTTAGGGGGAAATCAGTAAACCAAATCATTTTCTACAGAGTCTTATATATAGATATATAGTATAATTCAAAATAAGATCCGGCACGCCACGACTTTTTCCTGTACTCAAAACTCAAGCAAATGCCCTATTGAAAGATATTAAGCGGTAGTGAAGAAGTAATCGTCGGGACTGGCAAATCATATTACAAATATAAACTCGAATTTTGTTGTTTTATTATAAAACAACCGTTAAGTAAACAGAACTATCCCGGAGTCCAAAGTATGCGAGTGCTTACCTGCACTCTTTAAGGTTTATACATATATGGTAGACATGAGTTTGATCACAACTATAATTAGTATATGTATTTATATAACATTATACCCATGTGCAACATTAACCAGAGAGCACAAAAGTTATTTTTTGTGTGTGATTGTAAAGCAATGAATACAATACATTGGTATAAAGTGCAATTGATGTTGGCAATTTTTGCGGAATGATGGCCTAGTTTTTATACTTTTGCGCTGGCGTATAAGCTCAGCAGCACGTACATACATACATACAATTGTATATAAATTTGTATTAAGGTATGTTAGCCTTTTTTTTGTTGTTACTTTAGCTCTGTGGCAACTGATTTCGGATAGTAGTTGGCTGGTATACAATTATTACCTTTACGTATTTGCATTGTACTAAACATGTACACTTACATGTAATAATATTATAGAAAATATGCGTTTCATGCCAATTTAATGAAAAATATCATAACTAGAAATATTTTTTTTTTATAAAGAAACCACTAAACTAATGTATTTAAAGAAATATTCATAGTTATAATCTAGTTCTCAAACTGAAAACTCTAATCTAGGTTTACCATATGTATGTAGGTATATAAAATATAATGTCTAAAGAAGAAATGGACAAAAACAGTTTCAGAAATATACGAGTAAATACTTTTCTAACCGTTGTTAAAAATTATACAGTTTTGAGTTATACTGTTTTTACCAAATGAAAGAAACAAATATCATAACATTTGTGTGTTTTTGCTTTAAGTGAGTGAGTCATGAAAAAAGACGAGTGTAAATAAACTAAACTACACGAGTACTCAAAGAAATTATCGACTTACAGTTATTTCGAAATTTGTAATACAGTAATGCAGCAACATACAACTTTTTTACTGCGACCAGCTTTTATTGGTCGGCTTCTGGCGGTTTCTACTGAGTTCAGTATCAATTACAGACTAGCATTACAGCAGTAATGAAATAAAACTTTTAATTACAATAAACTTGTAAGCGAGCAAATAATTGGAAATGTATTTATGTGATAATACATTTTTCTATTTTCAAGATAGACCTGGTCGTAAGTTACCAAATTGATTTTTAAAATCAACTCCTATCTAAGTGCATTGAGTATGGGACTACGAACCGGTTGTGTCATATACCTCTCAAGACAATTATAACAATTGAATATTTTTATTAGTATTGCGCTTCCGAAATTCCAAAAGTATTTGTGACACCAAAAATATCCTTTAAGATTTTGTCTATTTTCTTCATTTGTTGGATAATTACAAGAATCACGTAAAAATTAGAAAGAGATGGTCTATCTAATATCCAAATAAGGGTTAGATATGGTATTCCTTATTAGTATTGAGCCTTTTAGCATTTGATACTGCACAAAATACGTCCGCCATTCCTAAGTACATGCAATCTGTGAATATCGCTACCCTGCAAGTCATCTATCGGTTAAATCACCAGTTAATTACCCAACAGCGCCACCAGAGATTTCTGATAGAATTTCTATAGTTTCCTCAGAGAACGTATATATATTTTACGTTCTCTGCCGTAACTGCTGGATAGTGTGTGAAAAAGTTAGCGAATATATCTTAGACGCACACCTTTTTAGCAAAATATTTAACGCTAATGAACCCTGTGTTTCGTTTTCTATTGTGACAGCATCAGCCTCTTCTCGGAATTAGATTTTTAACATTGCAATAAACTTTATTACTGGCGGTTCCAGGAAGTTTTGTAAACAATGGCTGATGGTGAGGATATTGAAAGTTCCATGGACAAACAATTCAACGATAATGACGGAGGTAAACCGGATAAAATGTTTACATTGAAGAAATGGAACGCTGTAGCTATGTGGAGCTGGGATGTTGAGTGCGACACTTGCGCTATTTGCAGAGTTCAAGTGATGGGTGAGTGACTGTCTATTCTATTGTTATATGAATGTACGTAACTCCATAAGGGTTCATACTGCTTTTTAATATATTTGCTCGGAACATTTCAAAGAATCGTGTTTAGTGCCTTGCTGTCCAGAAGAGTTCCAACTTTATTATCTACTTGAATATTTGGCAAACAACGTTTTTTTATTTTTATTTTTATACGTTCTCTATACTTGATGCGTTTCTGGAAACCTAATTCCAATTTGTATCAGCTGGGTACCGTATATTTTGAACGTTCTAATAACGGGAAGTAACTGCGGTGAGCATTTTCCAACTAATTCATTTCAATATACATATGTACATATGCATATGTATGTATGTATATACATAACTATTTAATTTGCTCAAGGCTGTAACATAATTTTACTACTTATTTTTTGCAAATTGTCTAGTATTCGATAAGCTAATTAAGCTTTCGACTGGTTTAAAAATACATACATATAAAACGTTACCAATTGAACTGTTTCAGATAAGATTCAGATAAATATCATTTAATAACTGGCAATCCAACAAAGTTAAAATTAGACTTGTTACAAGCGTCGGCTGGGATGGTCTACAGTGCCTTCAACGAATTTTGAGTTTTTCGGTTTCGGCTCATTTTGGGAACGCCATTCATTCCATAACATGAGGCAAATTTTCAACGACTTCACGACCTTGACTGAATGTTTGGTGTCACTCAAATACTTGTGTTCGTGATAAAGTAGACTCCCCAAAACAATTCTGAAACATTTTCAACGATTCTGTAGCCGTTCATTGGATACAAATTTTCAAGCAAACGCATTGTTTAAGTTTTTTCCAAATTCTCCATTTTGTCGTTAACAACTCCACCCAAAATATCGCGGAGCCCTCAATCAGTTCTTGAAGAACTTTTCGCATATTAGTTTTAGTTGTCACAAAAACTAAGTTCGTGCCAAAGAATTTCAATCTTGCTGTAATTTGAAAATACCTCGCCCAAACCCTAATTCTTCCAGGAATTAATACACAATTTTATTTCGGTCATTGTACACTTCAGTTTGGGTCGACAGACCGTTTATATTTAAAATAAATTTTCTTTTCATTTAACAATTACTTATTGAATAGATAGTTAATTTATATTGATTAACAATAATATAATATAAGGCGGTTGATGATTATCTTGATGTTTTTTTTCTAATTTTTATTCATATTTTTTCTTGGTTCTTTTTTTTTTGTTATTGTTAGTTATATCGCCTAACTTAATAAATATAGCACTAATGGTCATTAGAATAATATTAAAAAAATGTATTTTTAATTAAAAAGAAAGTACACAATTAGGTCACTACTACATTTTTACTGTAAATACTACTAATAACACAATGCAATTTTCATAAAACATATTTCATTTTTTCACTTAAATTTTTCTTGATAAAAATTTTGGAAACATCAATTGTCATGAACCGACAGAAAAGTGCACACATTTCCTTTCGGTTAACGGCTATTAGACTACATCACATTCATAATATTATAAATCTCATCTACATAATTTCTTTGACTTGCTAGCTGCTTAAAGAACTATATTATATTCGTACATTCTAAACGCGCACCCTTTTTCTGCTTCGTTTCTCAAACTTTACTTCACACTGGTCAAGTTATTTACTGCAATGTTGCGCTACTAAATTTAAAATTAAGGCACTTAAACTAGTATTTGGTTGTATTAGAATACGCATCATAACACGTATGCATTTATGTATGTATGTGCATATGTATGTAAATCATACGATGAGTGACATCTTTCTACATATTGAAAGACAAGGGCTTGATGTTCGCTACAGAGGACATGCGACGCACACGACCCATCATTTTGCGTTCAATATCTTCCAGCGTTTTGCCCTGTGTCTCAGGCACATAGAATATCACGAAAAATAGGCCTACCACACAGATAGAACCAAAAAGCCAGAAAGCACCATGTGCGCCCATTGTATCTGCAAGGATTTAGGTTAAAAGTTGATTGTTAGCCCTAGGTATTGTGGTATTATATTAGAAACTTACCAATCATGTCGCGGAAGGTTTTGGTCACAACGAATGTACATGTCCAGTTGAAAGCGGTAGCCACTGATGCAGCAGAACCGCGAATTTTCGCCGGCAAAATTTCGCCCATCATTAACCACGGTATGGGTCCGAAACCGAGTGAGAAACCAACTACGTAGATCACGAAACTGGCCAATGGTAACCAACCAACCTCGGTGATGTTCATGCCTGATGCTTTGCAATAGAAGAAGCCGCCAAGGGTGAAGAGTGAAATAATCATGGCCACATCGGAGATATAGAGCAAAATCTGGGGGAGCAACAAGTGAATAACAAACCGTTAGAAAATTATAGTCTTCGAATATAATGTAGGCATTTCCGTTTACCTTACGCCCGAGCCGATCGATGAGTACGGTTGCCATAAATGTTGCAATAAAGTTCACTATACCCACAATAATTGTGCACAAATTACCATCAATGGTGGAACCAGCTTCTTGGAATATCATTACTGTATAAAAGATGACAGCATTTATACCGCTAAGTTGTTGAAAGAACATCAAACCCAACGAAATGGATAGAGGCTTCAAATTGTTGCGACGTAACAACTCTACTAATTGATTGCCTGATGAGTGTCTATCTGCATGCGCCTGCGTACGCAAAAGACCCTTTAACTCTGGCTCAACATCAGCTTGTTTACCGCGTAGCCACTGCAAGGCACGACGTGCACGATCTTCACGTCCACGTGAGATATACCAACGTGGTGTCTCCGGTATGAGGAACATAAGAATCAAAAATGGCACAGGTAGCGCACCACCAAGGAAAGCTAATTGGGACCAATCAAAATATGAGCCAGCGACAAAGCAAAGTAAAATGCCAATATTGCCGAAAGCAGTAGGTAATAGACCTAATGAACCACGTACTTCCGGTTGTACGGTTTCGCCTAAATACACAGGCAACGAGAGCGAAGCAATGCCCACACAGAAACCAGCAAGGGTACGTCCAGCTAGCACCATCGCAATGTTAACAGCACAAGCGATGAGCAGCCAAGAGATAACGAAGGGCACGGCGGTAGCGAGAATTGTATTACGACGACCCAGATATTCAATAAATGGTCCACCAGCAATGCCGCCAGCCAAACCCGCCAGGGGCATTAGACCGCCTACCCAGGAAGCCTGTAAAGAGAAAGTAAAATTTGTATAATTAAGATAATTTCAAATATCAGCTAGAAAATATCATTCAGCTGTGTTGTTGTACAACTTACCGCTTGTGGTGTTACATCAAAGTCCGTAGAATTTCTGTCAGTCATTGATACCAAAGCTGGAGAGGTGTAGGCGGATGAGAAACCAACAACCAATGAACCCATTGATACGCTCAGCGCAGCAAGCAACTGCAATAAAAAAAAGAGTTGGTTTGAAAATTATTTCTTTTTTAAAACCTCAGAAAATAAAAAAAATATTAAAATAGTTTGTTTCGATTTAGCTCATAACTGCACCTGATGACCGATCCCACTTGGTTTAGGCTCATCATCGGGTACTGTAAACGACATAAAAGTGTCGGCACGTGCGAGCAACTTCATTTTGTGTGATTTGGATAATACTTTTTAGACCGTTACTATTTCGAAATGACTGAATTTCGCACATAAATTTCTCTGGTGCTTCACAAATTAAATTGAAATATTTATTTTCGTCTGCAATTATGAAGTAATCCAGTAGTAGGAACAACACGAGTATATAGAAAGGATCTGCCGCGTGTGTATTTGCTTTTGCAACTACGCCGCCTAACGCATTCCTCGAAAGCTAATATCGAACTGATTGCGATGGTGTAATTTTCGAAGATATTTTCATCATTGCCCGCCGTTGCCTTTGCAAGCTATAGCTGCTAAGAATTTAGAGTGGTTGTTGCTGTTGCAGTCGCTGTCGGTACTACCGCTTCTTGTGATTACTAACCGGTGCAAATGGCAGAATTTTAAACACACATTCTATTTAGAACGCGAACACAATTTTTTTTTTTTTTTTTAATTTATACATGATGTTCAATAAAATAATTTTATATTTATATTATCTGTCCGATACGTCAGAGACTTTTGACTGCGTTAACTATTAAAATTTTAATAAAATTTAAGAGAGTTTAGAGCGATTTCAATATTTTTAAATGCTTAGTGTAGAGGCAATTTTCAAATGGAAACTTTAGTGTTTACAAATTTTGATGACCAAATGGTTTTGGTTTTATGAATTCGATATTTGTGTATTGCTAATTGCATTTGATGTAAAAAAAAAGCCGTGCGCGTGTGTATTACAATAGGTATAGCATTTGTTGAACAAAAACAACTTTCAGCAATAAATTTAAAATTAATTAATTTAAATATGTAGCGCAATATGAACCGTATCCATTTCAAGTTGTACCGTTATTCGAGCTTTTAATTATTATACCCTGAATAGGGTTTGTATATGTCTTTTTCTCCCCAAGAAGCTGCTCATATGTCGGAATCGCTGACATCGGACCCGTGTAGCATATAAGTAGCTCTCACACAAGCTGATCGATCAAATAATGGCCTTGTATGGCAAACTTGTCGCGATATATTCACGAAATTCGGCATAGATGATTGTCCAAAGCGACGCTACAATCTCCGAAAAATCAGTTTTCAGATCGGAACACTTTAGCATATAGCTGCCATACAAACTGACTGATTAAAATCAAGTTCTTGCATGAAAATTTTTTTAATTTGTGAAGGGTGTATTAACGTTTGGATTAACCCAATTTGGTTCGAGTAAAAGTGTAGATAAGAAAGAAATTAATAATAAAACCTATGAAGTATGTGATTCTAAGATTAAAAATTAATTATTTTTCCCCGTTAAGTAGTTTAACAGCAATGAAATTTTATTTAAAAATTTTAGTTATATCAGTTTCTTTATTATAGCTTAAACTTAATAGTTTCATTATTTATTTTTCAAATTAAAAAAAAATGTTTTTTCGTTTAGGGAAGTCCTAGTTTAAGTGTAATTTGCAAAATTGGTATAAATACCGTATATTGTCATGCAATTTTCAACGGAAATCGCTTTAGTTCAAAGTTTATTAAACATACAAAGAAAAAAATATTAATAATAAATAAAAATATGTTTTATAATACACATTTGCTTTGCAGATTGCAACATTCGTACATTTGCGACCAAATGTGACCTTTTACTAATATTTGTAAAAAAAATTCCTTGATCTTCCGTTGGAAAGCTTGCCTAATGGCATTACCTATTAGTGTTTGTATTAAAATATAAACAATAAACAATTTTGGCGATAGCTTTGCAATTAAAATACTGATAACGAGCCTATGAGTAGCGTAATGTAAATTGTCATGTAAATAACAGTTTCCTTTTACGTTCGTCGGACCGTTAGTCCCGTTCGTTAGAATCTAATGATGCTCATCTTATCACGCTGTTTTCGAATGTGCATGTACGTTTCAGTGAATTCTGATAACAGCTGAAAATTAAGAGTGCAAAAGCAACGGCGGCTGGACAGCAACATCGTCAGCTGCGGGGGTGACTGACAATAGCAATGACAAAAACAATTGCAGCAGCAATAAAAAAAATTATTTTACAAAATCCGCTGATTATTCGTATTTGGTTCGAAGCAGTTATTGTTTTCGTTTTCGATCTGTGTTTTTTTTTTTGTTTTTTTTTTTGTTGTTTTACTTTCTTTGCTATTTTGTAAACACTATTGTATACGAGTGACCGATTGCCGGTTTTGAAAGATTTTTCACATAGATTAAAAATACTATTATTTCTTAATTACTGTTAGGTGTAGCACACAACGTTTGTTTTGAACCGTTGATAAGCTCGTTTTGTATGCAACTGAAATGCTTTCTTGGAATGTGCAGACAATGCCAACAGCGTGTAGTAACCATATTTCAAAGTCGATTTTTTTCAATTTGCTCAATATGGTTTTATACAATTGTATTGACTTCTGCACCACTACGTATGTATATATATATATATGCATATGTGTATGTATGTATGCCGCTTTAAGTCAAGACAGTAATGCCTAGCGATCCATCAGAAGTTGATTGACTGTAATGGTGGCCATGTGCGAGAGCTGACGACACGTGTCCTGCTGTTGCCTTGACTTTTGTGGACGCCAGTCCATTGAGTGGCTCTGTTTTGAGGCGTCCTACGCACTTTATAAAATTGCGTTTATTACTTAGTGCGATATTTTTACAATAAATTTATGTGCGGAAACTTGTTTATAAGTAAATTTATTACGTGCGCTCTTAAAGGCCTCGCTACCTACGTGAGACTTATTTAAAGAAGGATTTGCATTTAAGTTTTTCATTTTATGTAAAAGCTTAGTTTGTGGTTCACGCTTTTGGCAGATCTAATAAAGTAAATCGCTTATTAAAGTTTGTGAAAAAAACACATCGGCGTGTGTTCAAAGTTCAGCTACAGCAAAATATGGAAAAACTTCGATTATTAGTCATGCGCAAAATATTTACTGTTATATGATATTGTGAATATATACACATATATGTATAATTATTTGAGTCGTCGGCTCTAGATCTAACACATCTGTTTGATAATTAATTTGTTGCAAAAACAAAAAAAAATATATTTCTTCTGTTTTAATTTTTCATTATTTTCAATTTTAAATGTATTTATTTTTTTTTATTAATTAATTTTTATTTATTAATTTTTCATAATTTTTACTTTTTTAAAATTTTATATTTTTAATCTTTTGCAATTTTGCTGTTGTTAAAAATATTATTTTTATATTTTTTATTTTTTTATTAATTTTGTTAGGCTAATCCATATATTTTTGGTTGCTTATTTAAAAACTAGTATTAAATATCAAATTTGCAACATTAACTATACCTTTTTAGCATTTGTTAAGAAAATGTGTACATATCGTGTATATTTGAACTTCATTTTATAAATGTAAAAAAGTATGTTTTAAAACTTTAAATTGAAAAATCCGCATATTTTACTTATTATTTTTAGTGTAAAAGTGACCTAACGAATGTTTAATTTTACTTGCAACGATACATATTATCATTTCAAATATTGTATGTTTTTTTTTTTTTTTTTTTTTTTTTTTTTTACATATTTTCGAACTTTTTTCGTACCTAACTGCACTTTAAACAATTGTACGTGCAACATGTCACATAAGGCTTTAATAAGTTCTTTAATCATACTTTCTGCTTTGTAATTATTTACCTGCGACCAAATGTAAATTGCCTGGGTATTCTCGTTTATATCGAATTTCACATTTTGATCCATTTTTGACACTTAAGAAAAATCGCAAATACAATTATCCTCTACTCTAGTGTGTCAATAACTTGATTTTACTTCGTTCAATAATTGATTTATTAGCTTGACTGGTGTTTTAGACGCATCCGCGTTCATCTCCTGTATTACACTCACTATACGCTGTTTCCTAGACTAGCCCCGTTCAGCCAAGTTGAATGTTTATCAGTACATTTGTAAATTGATTATGGCTTGAAAATGTTCTTCATTATTCAATTTAATTGTATACACACTTTGAGGTCATTTAATCTCTCGAAGACGAGTCGCAAAATTCGATTATCAATTATATACCTATGTATATGCATATATGTACATATTTAAATTCCTTCTATATATTATATTCTATATATTATATTATATATCAAGTTATATAATATATATATATATATATATATATGTACATATGTATGATTAATATATGCAGATCTTATAATAAAACTAATTCGAAAGTATTGACTTTTGTTCGAGTTCGAAGTAATGAAATTAGTCGTAAACATAATCTCATATACAAATATTTGAAATGAGCGCGAAATATGCGCTATGCGAAAGTAAAACAAAATCCCATTAGCACTATACATACATATATAGTTCACACATACCATACATAAATAGATAAAGATTTGTTATGTGAAATTCAAGCTTGTAGGATTCCCTAATTTGTTGCTAGCAAGCGATTTGCTATCAGTTCAATTGTTTTGTAAGAAAGGTTTAAGCATGATAATGAGACTGACTTTAAAATTATTTTCATTGTCAATTTCATTGTCAAGCAAATGAAACAGATTAATATTAGTGGTAAGATTTTAATTCTTGTGCTTAAGAATTTATATGTGTGTATGTAAATACACCTATACATTGTGCGGATATGGAAATTTACATTCTACACTTGGCCAGTAACAAGTAGCTGTAGTTTTCCACTTTCAGCTGCATACTAACATACAAACATACTTATTTACAGGGTGATGCCATTAATCAAATTTTCAGGCTGTTCAATTTTAAAAACTTCTGTTACTATTTCATAGCTGTAAGTAGCAACTGAATTGAGGCAAACTAAGACTTTCGTGTCTTCACGATTGTAGTGACTCGGTCCTAGCATTCTCACTCTGGTCACAAGCTGTTGAAGTTTTAACAACAACACACAGCTGAAATAACTGATATTTCAATTAAAAAGCGGTTATTTACATACACAAATCTGTATTAGAAAGCTTGCGGCTCACCCTGTATACGAGTGTTTGTACTTTAATTAAAGACGTGTCTATCTTAGCATTATTTACTGCTGTTTAAATATCAATTTATATCGCTTTTGTGTTCCACGCATTTTCCTCAATAGTCATACTATTTATAGACAACCATATGTTTTGCTTCTAATAGAAATACATATAAATATTTGCGTCACTGAATTGCTACTTTCCCTTTCCTGTTATCGGCCTTCTTCGTGTGCTTGTGTGGGTGTGTGTGAAGATTTACATCTCCGTGCTACGCGCTTTAATATTTGCTTAATCAGCCATTAAAGTATGTATGCCTTTTTTGGCAATCTTAGAATTCGGTCTAGAAAGCTAAGCTGCGAAACCCATTACTATAAAAATTATATATTTTGATTTATTTGTCCTTGTCTGAACTATAACAGTACATGTGCGCAAGCCGTGTGTAACAATTTGTTATCAACGCCCCGAAATGTAGGCAACGTTTTCAAAACACTGAGTAAGCGAATCGCTAAAGTTATACAAAAACAAAAAATCATATATATTTGTTTGTAATTTAAGCGACTTTTATAAAAATAAATTAGCTAACGCAAACATTTTTAGAATAATGAACCACCCTAATCTGCATCTTAATTAATTATATTAGGTTTCATTTCGAAGAAGATAATAACCGCTAACGTCAACGTAAACCACTCAGGGCATACTATGCTACATTTTTTAAGTAATCTGTGTACTTAAAAATATACGAATGTTGTTACTTATGTGCTCAACACTCACCTGCGTCCAAATATATATAGGATTCGTTGTAGGTCTGTATACTTCCAATTTGGGTTTACCATCTTCGGTAATCTGCCGGACGAAAGGTACAGCGTTGCGGAGGTTTTCATTTTTCTTTTTGCCCATTTCGTCCATTTCATACAGTCTATGGCTGAAATGATAGAAACAATATTTATTCAAGTGAGCCTACACCCTGTATGTATGTATGTACATACCTTTTCCGCGAATCTGTACTTATGGAGCGTTGCTGCTGGAAATGCTGACGACTCGCCTCATAATCTTCATCGCTCTCACTTTCCAAATCCTTCAAGTCAATTATGACCGGTTTGGTAATATCTTTGGCACGGTGTATTAAACGCGTATGCTCAACATCATCCGCTTCCTCATCACTGTCTGTACTTGAACCCTGTAATACTTTTTCGAGTTTGAAACTGACGCGCGGATCTAAACTTTGATGTTTGCGTCCTTGAAATTCACGACGATTTTTGCGGAACTCTTCCTCCGAGGAGGAATCCTTTAGTATGTCCTCGAGGAAACGTGTGCCCTTGACATCGAGTGAAACATGCTTCTTAGCTTGAAATTGACGACGATTATCGTTTGCCAATATGTTTTTGAGGTCCTGTAGGGGAAAAATACATTTTCAATAAGCAAGAATTTCAACAAAATTTCCCCAACTAATTTACATACCTTCAATATGCCTTTGTGGTCAACACTAACTGTTTTTTGTTGTTGGTAGCCGCTGCGCCGACTCTCGAAATTGTCCTCGTCGCTACTGTCAACCGATTTGCGTTCGAAGGATACCCGCGAACCCTTCAATGACTGTTTGCTGCGCTGCAGCTCATCGTTGGTCAACGAAACGGTACTGCGCTGGTGATGATCGCGGTGACTGTGCGTTGCTGTTGGTGGCGGCGGTAGTGCCACAAAATCCTGACTGCCAGTCGATTTGGCTGACTGGCTAAGTGGTAACGGTAACGGTGGTGGTGGGTGTATGTCGTTATCCTCTATGATGGGGCCGAACTGTAACGGTGTGTCATTGACGCTGAAATTATTCTGTTGTGTCATTTGTCTTTGCTGTGGTGTAGGTCCACGTGGAAAAAGGAACGGGTCCTCGGGTAGAATTGTGTCCAAACTGGTAGCTGTGTTCGATTGTGAGAGTCCCTCTTCGACGCGTTGATAAGTATCCTGTTGTGTGAGGTGAGAATTGTGAGTTCATTTCGTTGCAATAACTGTGGTCTGAGCGCCAACTTACCGTTGA